ATTTTTGCAAGTACAATTGATCAGTGTTCGGCTAATTCGCTACAATCACTGTAAACTTAATACGTTGCTCTTGTTCTTTGCAGAGCATAAAAGCGGTGAAAGTATGGAACGCAGAAAGAACTGTCAAAAAGTTTGTATTTGACGTTCAATCCTTCGAAGATTTGCTGAAAAAAGGTGCGCTGGATATCGTATTCGTGACTACTTGTGCATCGAAACAGGACAACACAATCATAGTTAAAGTATCAAAATTTTATGAACAGCATATTCAGTTTTTCTTGTATAAAATAGCTCAAGTGTATTAATATTGTTGTACCTCATACAGAAGCTTAATATTCAAAAAAGCATTGAAAATTTACGCCTGTATTTTATAAACATTTATGAAAGATCGATATTAGGGCCTCTACAAGCCGACCGTTTCAACCTTTTAGCTGTAAACAACCTGAAATTTTCCACAATGAAAAACTTCCCATCCACTTATCGTTCATTTAAGCTTATTTTTAAAAAGGGAATGCAAGTTCTTTATAGAGCAGATATTTGTGAACAAAAATCCAAGTATATTTAGAAAGTCAGCCGAAACATTATTAATTTTCAGATTAATTTATTCCAGGGAGTGAGAAACTAGGAATTACAGCATGTAAAGCCGTTTTGGCTGAGGATGGTACTGAAATTGAGGAAGAGTATTTGGATATCATTGACCAAAAAAGTGTTATAATGCTACTAGAAAAACAAGAGAAATGGACAGACCAAGGTAAACAGTCTCGAATTGTTGTCTGTTTACACCCCAGTATTATGCACATTCTTATAACATGTTTTTATACTCTCTTTTAATATTTATTGTAGCCCACCTCATTTACCAAATACAGTGTAATAAAATGGCATTAAACAGCTGGTCTAATACCTTTTCTACTTAGAATACATAGCTGATAAAGAAGAAAGCCCACGTGAGTCTCCCAAGGTTTTGGATACTTCATCAGGAGGAGAAAACCTTTGTAAGCAGAGAACCCTTAAAAAGGACAATGGGACCCCCAATTAAAGTAAGTACTGAGAAGTATGATTTATTGCCGAGAAAGTTAGTTAGTTGTGTCAGAGAATAGCTACATGTTTTATAAAAATTTACCTTAAATGCATGCCCCATTTTTTTCTAGAAGTTGCCTAACTATTTTCATCTATCAACTGGACCTACTTTTTAAAAATGTTGTAAGATTGCCTCAAACGTTAAAAATAAAAAACGCCAGAGAATATTGTTTTGTTCCCATTTGCACCCTTTCACAGGCTAACTTATATACAGCAAGGGTAAATTATCTCACTGGTATCACTCGCTTTGTTTAAAGGTTGTCAAAGAAGAAAAACCAGAGGAAGAAATACTGCAAAGTGCAAAGATTTTTGGCAAAGATAATTCAAAAGCACTGACTGATTACCAGACAGCAGTGAATGAAGCAGCTGGCAAGCTAGCTACAGCAAATCCACAGTTGCTCTGCAACAGAGGTACTAGTTTCTTTAGACTTTCTCATTGTAGTGTAGAAGATATCGAAAAGATCTCTTCTTAGAGATAGTAGCTATTTATTTATTTATTTATTTCAATAGGGGAACTATATGACAAAGCGAGACTGTGAGAAGTACATATACCTTCAAAAAGGGGTACTCCAGGTCAAGTAACAGTAGCAACAGCGATAGTGAGACTCCACCTCCAAAACTGAAAAGGGCTAAAAGAGATAGTGAAGAAAGGAAAAAAGAAGTTGTAATTTAACATCATTAATCGAGAATGTGAAAAGTCATCTTCAAATTAAGCAGAAGAGATTGGAAAAGGCCAAATCTGTGAAAGATTTTAAGCAATGTGACCAGCTTACCCTTGAAATCAGAACACTTCTGAAAGAGAAAAGTGATCATGAGAGGCAGCTTACTGCCATCCAGAAAAAAGAAGCAAAGTCCTTATGGTATCATAAAACAAAGTCCTCCAAAAAAGAAAAGAAACCCAAAACTGAGAAAGTTGTAAACAAGCCACTAACGAAGTTTTTGTTTAAAGATACATCTGCTGCTTAAGTAGTTACTTCGAGTAATGAAACCACAAGTACTGCTAAGATTCCTCTAGAATCTGCAGCAAGTGCATCATCCCAAGCTACAATACCTACAACTCAAGTTACTTCAGATACGTGTACCTCCTCAGAAACCACAGCTGAACTTTCTACAGTCACAAATGCTCCATTGTCACCGACTGATACATTAATACTCAGTGATTCAGTTAAGGATTCGGATTTTTAAGTGACCCCTTCAGCTGTGAAGAGCCTGGAGGGGGATTTCGTCGCCTAGTTGATGTGTTTAATGAACAACAAAAGAAAAAGTTGAGTGAGCACCAGGCTTATGGAACTGACGTTTATGTGTCCAATTTTGAAGGGATGGAACTGACAGATTACATTAAAGTTGCTAGTGTTGTTTATGCAGAAAAGCATCAACCGGCTGGATCACTGTGTTCCTGTGAAGGATTGATAAAAGTTGCTAGATGTATTGAACAGGAGGGGTGGATGAACTTAAAGGAGGCTTTTATGTTGTCAAGTCCTGGGAGAGTTTATTCATCTGTACATGCACGTCAAAAGCTTTTGCAAATGCCGCTGGCAGCAATTGCTGTAGGCAATCAAAAACAAGGAACCCGAAGGCTTTTTCTTGTCCGGAAGCAGCAGTTTGTTAATTACAAGATTTTTCAGTCCCTACAGAGTACATTGGTAGAATCTCAGAAGGAATGCATGTCCAAAGAACAGATGAAAAAACTTCTCAATCTTGCTGACAGTGAGGCAGAAAGGAAACGGTTACGGTTCGCTGTAGTAAGGGGGGCTGGAATGTCCACCGAAAAGGCACGCAGTGTCTATGGTTTCCATGACATGACGCGAACAAAGAAGGTATTGGATGCAGCTGAGGAAGCACAAGATATCAAGGAATGCATGCTCAAGGTTGTCCGCTTGAAGGATAAAGCACTGCTACAGGCATTTGGTGTTGATGACAGTGCAAGTGAAGAAAGTGAATCTGAGAGTGAGACTGATGTTGATTCTGACGATACTTCTGGTATGTTAGATGGCGTAAAGAATGGAAACAAGTCTAGCAACAGGAACGAGGATGGCTCAAAAGAAGGAAGTTCTGAGCTTCCCCCAACAGAGGAAGGTGTGATACCTCATCAGTTTCAGCTCCGAGATTACATGAACAGTGATGAAACATACAAACATGTTACAGAAACAGAAGGTGTGTACATGAATTCACATCAGCTCTTGGACATCCTTAGAAAGTGCGCACTGAACGGGTTTGAATTTGTCATGATTCTCCAAAGATTACTCAGTAACATTTCAGATGAAGCTTTACATCAGCTTTTGTTAGACTTTGGAGGTCAAATCGCTTTCCTTGGTCTTAGTGTTGAAGAGGAACGTGTTATAGAGCAGTCACGCCAGGCTTACCTTTTGAGTCAAAGGCTGCAAAGCATACGAGGCGAAGACACTGGCGAAGAAATTGTGTCTGAGTCTGATGTAAGTGAAGGTGAAATGTTGCAGGTTGAAGACTTGCTGGGGGAAAGAGGGAGAGCTATCTTGAACAAGAAGCGATCTGCTGTGCGAAGGAAAGAAATTCGTGAAGTAAAGCGAAGAATAGCAGAGAGGCGTTTTCAAAAAAGGCGTCGCAGTAAACGAGTTTCACAAGTGCTGCGAGACTGTCCAGGCATTGGTCAAGCCATAGAGGATTTTGTAAAAGCATGCGGAGCAGGTGCTGATGCCTGGCGGCGTATTGGTGCCTTAACGTTTGATGGCAACAGAAAGATCAAACAGAAAGCTACATTCAAGAAAATAAAGGAGCACCTGGAACAGAAGTACAACCGATCCATTTCATATGGTTCCGTAGTCCAGTTATGTGTAGCACGAAATAGGAGAAGGCGTTCCGCTGTTCGGTATAAGGGTGTGGCAAATGTTATCCAGAGAAGAGCACGCAAGGGATTCAACCTTAAATACAATCCGGATGTACACTGGAGTTCGGCCTTTTATGCGTCACTCAATCATCTTCAGTATAAAGATGGCCACAATATTGTCAATCTAGGAAGAGATGACCAGGCCGGTTTCCGGCTTGATGCAATGACCACACACAAGCTTCACTCCACTCTTTCCATCAAGGGAAGTGAGCTTCTTACAACCTACACGGACTATGTTAACAAGTATCCATCAACCTTGCAAACAACATCCTACAATTTTTCTGGGACTGATAGTACTGGTGAAATGTGCTGTGGTGTGGTTAAAGCAACCCCGCTTCACTCGGAAAACGCCGCGCAGCATTTTGCTGATCTGAAAGAAGTAGAGAAAAAGCATTCTGTTCGACCTGCATTCATTAATCCGGTTACTCAAGAGAAAAAGAAAATAGAATGTATTCGTGTTGACGGTGGATTTGATGAAGGACCGCCACATAAAGAGGTGCAGTATTGGTGGACTCGAAGGCATTTGGAGGCGGAAACTGTTGTAACTCTCGTATCATCACGTAACAGTGGTGCAAGCTTTCGTAACCGCGTCGAACTTCAGAATGGATGCCTTGCTCTAGGGCACGCAAACCTCTTCATACCATCTACACTAAATGGGTCATGCTTAACATCTTCGGGAGGGGTAGATCAGAACGTGCTGCGTAAGAACCTTGAATCTGCTATAGATGTTTACATTTCTAGAGTAGATGGCGCCCCTTGCGCTTCTACTGAAATCCATCTTTACAAAAGGGTAGATAGCGCGAAGTACCAGGAGAAAAATGAGGTACTCAAAGTGTTTCTGAAAGGAAGTAAGGCTGCCAAGTCCAAAATTGAAACAGAAAAACCAGAGTTGTATTCTCTAGTAAAGGAGACGTGGGAACTCCGTGGGAAGCATATCAGAGAAGATGTCCCAAGTAAATATGTTTTTATGCTTCAGTGTTGTTTTGAGGACGACTGCATCCATCCTGTTTGCAAGGAGGGAAAACTTAAGAATGAGACATGGTACCCTGGTGGCCCCAGTATTACTTTTGTCCCCTTACCTGTTCCAGATCCTGCGCGCCCATTCAATGGTGGCAACTGTAGCGACTGTGGAACTCATTATTGCTATGGACATTACATGAAATATGATAAAGTGTTAGCACGGTTTTTGGAACAAGGAAAGTGCGATTATGTAGCTCCACCTTCTGTTGTTTTACTTGAAACCTACAACAAGTATAAAGCCATTCCACCACAGCCCGTTGTGATGGAAACTGCACAGAAAACGCTTTTGCCACAAGAGGAAGTTGTTATGTGGTTTGAACATCTGCACCAAATAGCAGAAAATCGGAGAGCTGGAGCAAAGAAGGCTGCTGCAGCACGGAAAGAGAAACGATGCACAAAGACAGTAAGCTCTTGCAACAGTGGTTCAACAGGTAAAACAACTGTTTCGGCTGTTTTTGACAAACATGACCCTAAGGAACTTTGCCAGGAGTGTGGCAGAACCGATCTCCCAGACCGTGAGTTGGACACGGCTTCTTGGATTTCATGCGATGGTTGTCTTCGATGGTGGCACATGTCTTGTCTTGATCTTGAGAAAGATGTTAGCGTAGATAAAAGGAGCTGGCTTTGTTTAAGATGTAGTGAGGTCTCGTAAATCTTCCTGTGCAGACTTCGAAAAGAGAGGCGTTCCGATTCGGGGAATGGACTACGTACCCATCACCGTTTTTCCTGCTCTGTTCTCCTTGCGCCTTCCCAGCTATCTGAACGACTGGAACAGGCCAGTATAGTTTTTACATTTATGTTCATTTTTGCTGATAGTATTATTGAAAGAGATTAGTCGTTCATTTCCAACAGGCAGATACCTCCGTGACTGTTCAGAGGGCAAACGATATTATACTTTTTTTGCATATGTGAGGCCTTCTTGCCTGCCATATTACATCATCAGGCGGAGTTCAAACTTGGGAAAAGTTAAAACATGTGGCTATTTACAAAAGAACTCAGCTTCCTATCTTATCCATGGGACAGGGACATTAGTTGATATTCTGCTGATTGAGATTGAGCTCAGCATTAGGTTATAAAAACTTAAGTTTTGAAATGACTAGTACAATGCTGTATGAGGCTAAAATTGTCTCACTTGAATAAAAGATACCAGAAACCTGAACATAGGTAAACCTAAGGTCAATGGCAATTCCAGAGCATTTGACATTCCCGATTTTAAAACCTTGCATGGTTGAATTGTTCCAACTACAGCGTGCAAAGAAAGTCATGTTCGATAGCCCGGGCTAGTGGATTTGCAACTGGGCTAGTAAATTCTGTTCTTAACATAGCCGATGGGCAAGTGAAGTTTTCTGGGGCAATTCAAATTACAGAAGTACCATAAGTCAACTGTTTAAATTCCATATAAATTCATCTGGATCGAAAACTGTTTTTTAAGCTGATCTGACGAAGTGAAATTATTAGATTTATTGATATTGCAATGAATTAATCGATCAGACTAGGCTAGTTAAAGTGACTCTTGGGCTAGTCCAAACTAGCCCGAATGTCAAGCTGTAAAACTAACTTTCTTTGTGCCCTTTACTAAGAACGGTATGTTTAAACTTACAAAATGTGGACTTTCTCCTAAGGGTTTCTCTATTCTACGCAGTGTAACATGGATCGAATGGTTTAAAGGTATAACTGCTGCTGTGACAGGAACATGTATCTTTAGTGATGCAACAACGTTCATAAATAAAGATTATAGAGTTTTATTTGGAGATATTTCAATTGTGCCTTTGTTGGGTCCAGCCTTGGGATATTTGACAGCAATGTGCAGCCCGGGGTGGGGAAATTTGGTTGCATTTGACTGAAATGATTTGCCCGTGGGCAGGGAATTTGACGGCAAATTTTTCAAAAATGTCAAATCCCCACCCCATGCCCTGCCTCCCCCCCCGCCGGCTTAACATTGATAGGTGCATAATTTTGAAAAATTATTAAAAAATCAGATTGAAATCTTTTGAAATTGTAACAACGTTTGGGTAGAAAGGAAGGATCATAAAATTGTTTAATATAAGAAAAGTCATGGTATTAGTTTCCGTTTCCATTCACGAAGCGAGGGTATCAAGCACATTTTTCGGTGGTTTGAAGGCCTCTCGAAGGTGAAAACTAAAAAAATTATTATTTTGAAAAATATTAAGTCAAACGAACTGAGTCTTGTATTTTCTAAAATAGTTTCCAAAGGGCTTTGTTGTGACAAAGTTTGGGGGGATTTCGATTTTTCCATCTTGCACACCTATCCGTGGTATTTACAGAAAGTCGCTCATAAGCGCTAAAGCTTGCTGATATTCTATACCAGGACATATGATTCGCATTGCTCTTTTCTGAACGCGTTCTAATTCCTGCGAAAGGTAGGCTGGTAGCGCGTGGTGGAAAACTGGCGCAGCATAGTCAATGACGGAGCACACGCATGTAATGTAAAAAAGGCATAAATCTTTCTGTGGAACACGAGCTCTTGAAGGTCCTTTGCTTACAAAGAACTTGCTATCAATTTGGAAATCTTTTTTCTCATCACTATGCTCTGTTTTTACGTCTACACGCCTCCGCACGTTCTTCATCGTTTTCCCAACCCAGAGTTGTTCATGAGGTTGTATAAGTTCTTTTCGAAATGTTTTGTTGGTTGCTTCCCGAATTCTGCGTTCATCCAGTTCCTACGTTCTGTAAACCTTTCTCAGTTTCATCCCAAGATTCAGATAAAACTGCAAATTTCGTTAATGAACGACATAGTTTCTCTTGTTCCGCTGCGTCAAAACCAGTTTGTTCTCATTTTGTTTCAATCCCAACTCAAGAATCAAACCTCTTCTTGCGTTTTCATTTTTTGCTCTTCTGTTGGTACAACCCTTTTCCATGCAAACTTCCCTTTTGGCAGTGCTTTACTCATAGCCCAGCCGTAAAAGTGATTTGCGTCAAGATATTGTTAGCCTGAATTTCAGACGATTGCTTCGAGTCGTTTATACCCCCTCGGTAACGTTTGAATCGACAGGCCGTTAATGCCGTCCAGTGACGTCGCTACTCCTTTGCTTTAATTCATGCAAAAAGTATAATACCATTTTTACGACAAACAAAGAAATATCATCTGGAAATATCTACATGATACAGAATTGCTTTACCCTTTTTGATGGTAATTCATGTTTAACGTTCAAGCTGTCCACTGCATTCAGTACGCGGAACGAATCTGTTGTAATTCAATAAACATTCAAACACACACAATCAAATAAATACACACATGGAACACTTGAAAAACACAATTTTCATTATAAAATGAAAAAAAAAAGCTATTTGGTCCTTAATGAAGGAGAAAGAAAAGCTAACAGAAACCTTACACTTGACGATGGAAATAACAAAAAAGTCGAATTAAGCTTATGACTTTATAAATCGCATACTGTGAACAAAATCACTGCCGCAAGCACAAAGCGGGCTCGAAATAAAAAAACCTACCGAATCTCCGAATCTCTCTGATTCTTCATTCGTACTTCAATTTACGTAACAATCCATAGTTTCGAAGACAAGTCCAATTTTGCTGTTTACGATGAAGATTGACGAAATTTTCTCCACGCAAGGATGTCAGGCATGCGATCCGCTGAATATCAAACAGTCCCGCCAAAATTTGTCATAATTATACATAATTATGCTTATGTTTAGACAATCACTCATCAAAATCACTACCCGGTTTTCGGGTAGTGGCGCCACTGGAACGGCAATTCGATTCAGACGTTGCTGAGGGAGCAAAAACGACTCGAAGTAGTCGTCTGCAATTCAGGCTAAGATATTGCATGAAATTGTTTGGTTTGCTTGGGTCGTAATCTTTCACAAATGGATTTTTAGCTTTTGCTTACCGCTTGCTAACCATCGCTATTCCGTCCCGAGTGAGTTCCTTTTCGATGACCAAATGTATGTCCACATCAGTCAACGGTTCCAGCTGCACTCCTGTCTTGTTCATTAGCGTATACCAAGATAGGCCCAGCGATGTATAGAAATACGCTGGATCCAGCCTGCACTGTTTTAAGCATATGCTTCTGAAATTCTAAAAAACATCCGCCAACAAACAAACATCCGTTTTGAGAAACAGTTTATGATTGTCTCCCAAATTTTTGCGCTCAAACAAACATTTCCACACTTTTTCCGCGTGCTTTGATTGTTTTCCGTTATGTGCTCGTCATTCAGGGAGCTGTAGAACAGATCTTTGTGCGACAGTTTTCTTTCTTCAAAGCGCTCTGATCCATCCATGTGTTAGTAAGGATAAACTCCTTTTTGACGAAGCCTTCTTTGCTTCCTGTTTTGTGCGAGTCTTGAGGTGTACTTCAAGTTTTACCGAGGAGTTTATTTTTACCAATGAATCCAACGACGCTTGCAAAAAGTTCGGACTGTTTGGAATACACTTTATCTTCTCGCCTTCTATTTTCGACATTTCCTGATCAAATGATGGGCATCGTATCCTTAAAGATTGTGGAAAACGACCGGAATAAAATCTTCTTTAGGCTTTATCCGTAGATTCATGTTGCAAACGTTGTGCGCCGCTCCACGGTCTCGGGGGTCCACGGTATTTTCCTGTCAAATGGCAATGGTTCTTTACAGCGTCTTTGTACTTTCTTGCAAGCATAGGCTTTAAACAATACAATCTTCTTGGCCGTTTTTATCCATTTGTCTATTTCATCTAATGTTTGAGACAGTTTTTGGCCCGATGAATTTGTTCTTCAAATGGCTCATTTTATGTGCCTGCCCGCAATATTTGCCCTCATTTTGGTCACTGAGTCCAAAAAGGATTCTGTTATCAATGCTTTTTGAGCTATTTTGAAAAAATAGCTCATATGTCAGTGGTGTGAGCGTACGTATCTTTGTGGCTTTGTATCTTTGTATCTTTGTATGTTCGGATGTTTGTTGCAAGAGCCAATAAGGTTGAAGGTACTATGAGTTGATGCCTAGGAACCAATGAGATCTTGGCATCTACTTAAACATGACATTGTTAAAGGTCGAACAAGGGCACTTTGAGACCGCCATCTCGATTCTTCACATTTTTTTCGTCTTTTATTACGGCTACCGGCGTTGGAAACATTATATTAAATATCTTCATGATTCAAACGCTGTGTACAGTGATGCAGCTGTTTAAGGGTTCATATTTTAGTGTGGATGCTATTTCACGATATTTCTGACCGAATTCGGCTATCGCGAACGATACTGACACACGTATTTATGAGTTGTGTTTCACCTGCTTCAAGCTAGAGTATAAAAGATCATATATTTTCAAAGCTCTTCCAGTGAAGCAATAATTGAGGTGATTTCTTAAAATCGTTGGGAAAATTTTGTAGCAAACAATTTGCGTTTTTTTTAACGTACAAATTGTAAAAGGGCCAAAGACCAACATCTTCATCTTCATGAGTTAATAATAGTAACTTGAACGTATGAAGACCTGTTTCGTCTTGTAACCAATGCCTTAAAAAAGGCTCTTGTCTTTTAAGAAGCAATAGCTTTTAAAACATGAAGAAATAAGTTGTCGGAGTTAAAGACTGTTTCACTGAGTAGAATCGCACGTGAAAACCTCGTGAATTGTGATGATGCAACCATCTACCACATTGATAAAAATCCTGGTATTTCTTAACTACTCAAATTCGATGAGTCACATTTTGGCTTAAGAAACTCCGAGGAAACCTTAGAGTTTTCCTTCTAATTAACGTTTGGTGAGTAGATATTTATTTTACTTTAACAATTTGTTTAACTTGCACCAAATGTAACAGGGAAAGACAGAGGAAAGTGAATATATAGCATGAGGATCGCGTTTTCACTTATGAACGGCAATACCCAATTTCGCACAAAAACCCAGTCTACATTTAGGACGAAAAAGGTAGATTCATCACTCTTGGTAGGGTAACACTGAAGCATTAAAGTTACACTGAAGCATTCAAAATAGCTCATGCACGTTTAACGTGCCTATGTTTCAAAAATATGGCAGTGGGTGGCGTTTTTAACATCAATCCAATCTTGATCCTGCATTGAAATGGGAACGATTGACCGTAAATCATTTCTTATTTTCTTCTTCCTGTTGCAAAATAAATTACGTGTGGCGCCTTAAGCTGACGGTGTTGTAGTTTTGGAAATAAAGCAAATTTTCACCTTCTTTTGGCATTTCTGTTCTCCTTGGCTTTCTGTTGATGCCTCTGCAAACCTCTTCATGCATCTCCAAATTTTCTACAGTTGTGAAGCACGACAAGCAGTTCAAACAGTAATGTTTTCTTCCACTATGTTTTGTTTGGTCATACAATAAAGCGCTTGATNGTATTTATGAGTTGTGTTTCACCTGCTTCAAGCTAGAGTATAAAAGATCATATATTTTCAAAGCTCTTCCAGTGAAGCAATAATTGAGGTGATTTCTTAAAATCGTTGGGAAAATTTTGTAGCAAACAATTTGCGTTTTTTTTAACGTACAAATTGTAAAAGGGCCAAAGACCAACATCTTCATCTTCATGAGTTAATAATAGTAACTTGAACGTATGAAGACCTGTTTCGTCTTGTAACCAATGCCTTAAAAAAGGCTCTTGTCTTTTAAGAAGCAATAGCTTTTAAAACATGAAGAAATAAGTTGTCGGAGTTAAAGACTGTTTCACTGAGTAGAATCGCACGTGAAAACCTCGTGAATTGTGATGATGCAACCATCTACCACATTGATAAAAATCCTGGTATTTCTTAACTACTCAAATTCGATGAGTCACATTTTGGCTTAAGAAACTCCGAGGAAACCTTAGAGTTTTCCTTCTAATTAACGTTTGGTGAGTAGATATTTATTTTACTTTAACAATTTGTTTAACTTGCACCAAATGTAACAGGGAAAGACAGAGGAAAGTGAATATATAGCATGAGGATCGCGTTTTCACTTATGTACGGCAATACCCAATTTCGCACAAAAACCCAGTCTACATTTAGGACGAAAAAGGTAGATTCATCACTCTTGGTAGGGTTACACTGAAGCATTAAAGTTACACTGAAGTATTCAAAATAGCTCATGCACGTTTAACGTGCCTATGTTTCAAAAATATGGCAGTGGGTGGCGTTTTTAACATCAATCCAATCTTGATCCTGCATTGAAATGGGAACGATTGACCGTAAATCATTTCTTATTTTCTTCTTCCTGTTGCAAAATAAATTACGTGTGGCGCCTTAAGCTGACGGTGTTGTAGTTTTGGAAATAAAGCAAATTTTCACCTTCTTTTGGCATTTCTGTTCTCCTTGGCTTTCTGTTGATGCCTCTGCAAACCTCTTCATGCATCTCCAAATTTTCTACAGTTGTGAAGCACGACAAGCAGTTCAAACAGTAATGTTTTCTTCCACTATGTTTTGTTTGGTCATACAATAAAGCGCTTGATCTTTTTGCAAACGAATAATGTCAGAACTTCTTCCGTTCCGGTCAACACAACATTTATACGTTCCAAGCCTACTGGTTTTTGGCTTAGTGTGTACACAATCGCTCTGTCGTTTTCCCACCCCAAACCATTCATAGCTAAGTTTTCGTTTTGCGCCTCGAGCTTGTCTTCATCTTTTATCGGCGATGACAATCTAATCCCTGCATAGTTAATTCCATCGTTTATTGGGTACGTGATCGTTCTTAATGGATGTTTTCCTTTCGGCGCAGGAAACAATGCCGCTCGAAGTTAACACTTCAGGCGCTCGTTGTCTCTTCTGTTTTGCACATTGATTATTGCTTTTTTGTCTTGAAGCTTTTTGAGAAGTGGAATGTATGTTTCAGCAACAAGTGGTTCATATCTTAGTGTCACGTTTATATAAGCAGAGTGCTGACTTCTATTCTTTCCGAAAACTTGGACACAAAATCACGATTTCTAATTTGGTACAACTGTTGCTTAAAGCTTCGCTTTAAAACGCAATCTACCAAATAAAAACCAACCTTCTTAAACTCCCATCATTTCACAATGTCTCTGTAAAATTATATCTAAATAGCCTCTAAAACAGCAGAGACATAAGCGTTTTAAAAGATGTAGCACAAACAAAATTTTGCCTTGTGAATTTATTCATAGATAGAAACAGTTTAAATACTCATTGGTTTCCTTGTTCAGGATTGGGAATTATTTTCTCAACCCATTCTTTCAAGTAGAACAATTCCACTGGTAAGATTTCATGTCCTTGACGAGAAAAGTTCACTAGGAAATCAGTCTTAATTTCCAAGTCTGTAAAATTCTCAGCTGTGTGTGAGGCCCATCTCAGTCTGTTGGTATCAACATCCCCATGCCACATCCATAGTGGAGGAAATTGCTTGTCTTTATTCAGCTCAAAGTCTCTTCTAATTTTTTCAAAGACAGCTGATGTTGGTGACAAGAAGGATGAAAGAGCAAATACACCTGCAACGTTTGTCAAAAACCTGAAAAGAAAAACAAATCACAAAGCTGTCTTACATACATACATGCAACACCTTTATTTAACCCTGCAATTTACAGCCGAGCTGTTAATCAAACTCTAACAGTCCAGAGCTTTTCTACTTATGGCAACGTTTTGATCCCCGACCAAAACAAACAATTACCCAATCACGGTACAAAGGGAGCTTTAGATCGAGGACGCGACGGATCTGCGACGCCGCTGGAGGTAATTGTTTACAGAAAAGGCTTCCTGCGCATGCTTGATCTTACAAATTTGACGCGTCGTGAAGACAGAACGCGAGTCAAAGGGATTTGGCGTTGCGTAGAAAACGTGAGTATGAATTGTCCTTGTTTTAAACAACATTCTTTGATAGAAATTGTGCCTGTTTCTTCATTATTACCCATGCGCAACTAAGCGCATGAGGTGTAAAATGCCCTCCGTTTCTTTTTTTGTGAGTCACATTAGTGCATGTAAATTTATGCTTGCATACATTTACACACATGACTGTAACGTTACGTGGGGTGGGGGGTAGGGGATTGTTCAAAAAATTTATAGTAGCTGAAAAATGTTTTGTTGTGTCAGAAAAATTCATGGAAATATTTGAAAAGAAGTAATAGAGTCTTAAAATGTATTAATGCATGGAATATCAGTCTATTTTGTATACAAACAAAAACAGTGCGTGTTTGAAGAAATCAAACACCCTTCCCTTGTTTCAAGCCCCTTAAGATGTGTATGGTCGCCCCCTAATTTGTTTTTCATATATAAAATTATAATCTGAGCTGAAATTTAACTCCGTCTTGAAGTAGTGGTTATCTTTTATTGGTCCCATGATGTTTTGAATTAACGAAAACGACCTTATCCTGTATTCTCGGTTTTCACTGTCACGCAATCGAAAATAAAATTGCAAACTATTCAGTACAGAAAGTCCAGAATCTAAGAAATAAAAGAAGATAAATATGCAAAAGGCCTCGCCAAGAATCAGGTCTGTGCGGTTTTTCATATGCGAGATATTCGGAAAAACGTTTTACCCAAATTTATAAAGCTTTGTATGGAGACGCCATGTTTGTGTCCCTTTGAGGGGCACAAATATGTCCGCCGGAAACCAACAGAAACATCTGTTTTTGAGTTTTCCTACTAATGCGTGAAATCATCGCTTGAAAAACTCATAAAGGATTAAAGTGATATTTATTCTGAGACAAGGAATGTTTAGATAGCAAAGTCTCCCAAAATTGGTAGTGTTTTTAACCCACATAAGAACCCTCCCGACCGCCAGCCACATGCCGCGTCACGCAAAAGCCTACAAATTCAAACGTCCCCTATCGCAAAACGACGAACCCTTTGGAACCAAAACTTTGTTTAAATAAAGGTGTTTAGGTGCTGTAATACCTCATGAAACTCAGAAACTCAGATGAATCGATAGTTTCTTAGTTTGAATTTTGGTGACGTCATGTGAAAACCGAGAATAGAGACGTTGGTAATGACGTTGCTACACGACAACGAAGTACGAAAATATTGCCGACACTCGTTCGGTTTGGTCCACGTGGGAATTCTTGTCAACAGGCACAAGAAATCGAGAAACGAGGAAAAAGCTTCGGGGACAACAAGATATGATCCCTCCGAATTATACAACGCTTTAGATACAATCGTAGCTTTAGAAGAATCAAGTGCAGATGCAAGTTTTTTCCAAGCGAAAATCTGCTTTACATTCGGCCGGATTTTTCTTTACAAGAGAAAATTTATTTTAAAACGAGTGAGGAAATGGTTGATTCATCATTATGCTGCATATTTTCTTCGTACATATGTTCTTCCGAGCACATTAACGGCATATTTAATTTTGGACTTTATTACACGACCTTATCTTTTATTCTTGCCAAATAAAAAAATATATATATTGAACTGACGCGTCGAACGGACCTCGCGTCGCAAAACTAAAGCTTATTTTTCCCCCGCTTAGAACGCCGTTCTCATTCAAGGCTTTTGCTCGGTCACCGCGTTCTAAAAGCCGTCGCGTCCTCGATCTAAAGCTCCCTATCAAGAGTCAAGGGTAGTCAAGCGCAGCATACGCAATGAAAAAAAATCAGATATGAAAAGAAGTTATGAACCCCTTTATAACGCGTTGGCATTAACCATTTACAGCAAAAGAGAATTGATCGTGCGCATGGACTAAATACCGATAGCGCGAGCCGATCTCCGACGCGGAGCTTCTATCTGTACTATCCACGCTGGAGTTATTTCACGCTGGCCTCGGCAGTAGCCAACAGTCTAAAGATATTTTTTACTGGTCGGGATTTACAGAAAGAGGAAAATAACTTTTCCGAGGATCTAAGTCGCGGCGAAGCCGATTTACTGTGGGCCCCAGCGTGACAAAACTTAGTAGGGATTTATCACATTCGCGGACAAAAATATCATGTAGTTATTCCGATCCAGGCACTTCGGAGAAATCTAAAGAAACTAACACCTTTATCTAAAGGTTATTTAGTTGCAGTAAAAAGCTATAACCCTTTAAAAGACGTCAAAGAAAATGCCAAAACTCTGCATCAGAGGTCAAATCCTGTTAGAGGCAAAGACCACAAGCAATCAATATGCGTGAAACCCATCTTCATCGCAGATCTTTCAATGTAAAGCAGCTGGCAAAAATATTTTCAAATGTCAAATTCAAGAATCCACAACAGCATAATTTACCAGCTTGAAAGTAAAAAAAGTTGAACAAATATCATTTTCAACCGAGGTAAAAGTTAAAAGTCGTGCAGGCTCACCGGCAAATGCCTTCAGGGTTTTCACTAAAGTGACTATAAATTAACCCCAGGAATAACACATGAAATGGTCAATAACGAGAAACCACTATCGATCTCCCAGTTCTGTTATCAGTTGGCCGAAGACCGCGAGCAAAGCAAGTTTATAATCTGGTCGCGCGCGAAGCGCATGTACCGGGCGTGGTCATTGCTACAGTAGCAGCAAAATCTAACGCTAACAAAATCTAACAAAATCTAAACCCCAGAAAAATCTTTCTTTGAATACATCGCTTGGTGTCCGCCAAAGACCTCACGTAGCGTTTCCAGGCAACATAGACTCTACCGATGATGACCAGGGCGCACTTTCATGTTGTGTTCATGAAGGGCTGATGTGTTTATTCATCGTCTGTGAAACAATGTTTACGATCGGTGAATCATGCGATCAAGAGCAATTTGCCATGCAAATGACACAGAACAGCAAGCACAACAAGTGGCTGGAAATCCTCGCCGGCGAAGATTTTCCATCGAAACTCCTCTGGAGAACGCCGACTAAAATTCATCGCGAGCGAAGAAGACGACGACAACAAGATATCGCAAAGGAGAGAGAACATCGCTTAGCACAGAGAAGGCAACATCATCAACACAGCGACTACAAACATGAACAGAGGCAGCGACAAAACATTACAATTACACTGTAAACGAAACCGATGAAGAGAAGGAACACCGACTGCCGACGCTTCAAAAAGCGATAAGGAGATCAGGAAACGCATGAAGTTTACAGTCAAAATTATCTTCTCCGATGCAACGATCGTGCATTACACGATCTGTATAATGCACGTCAAGAATATCTTTCCAACGGACTGAGGTCAGCCGATCAGCCTTTAGACCATGAGCAACAATAGTACAGTAAGCTTTATTTTACAATGAACAGTAAAGAACACCGACAATGTGAGACATGTAGGGAAGCGATACATTTGTAAACAAAATCCTTACTGAACAAAATTTTCGTTTACAGTTTTCATTACTTTTAATCCCCAAAACCATACCAAGTAAAATATGTCAAATCCTGCAATCTGGGGCGCGATCCATTCAACGCTATTATGAGCATTAGCTGGGAAAAGTGAATTGTATTATTCAGACAAAAAATCTGAAGGGAGAATTAAGCAAGTCGGCGAGGAAAACCGTTAAAGTAAAGCAAAAAAGGTGGCTCGTGATGTCGCTTCACTAGCTTTATAACCGCGCTGTAAGTACTGCAATCTTGCTTTTATGCACTGTTTATTGGACAGTTTTGCTCTGCTTGGAGTTTTGTTTTCCATTTTTGCTGTAAGAATCTAGATTCTGCCGTTTTTCTTTGAATTTGCCTCGCTAGTTTTCTACTTATCAGAAAACGTTGTTTTCAATGTCAAATCATTTTTCCAGCAGTCGGTTATCGCCCTTTTCATTTCTTTGTTTATAACTTGTTACTCACATCGCCTTCTTTTATTCGAATTCAATTCAAAACCTTCAAATTGGTAAGTGTAACTAGCTCTTTCTACAAAGCCTTAATGAAATGCAAATATAAAAATCATGTTGTAATGTTTTGTTTTGGGATGGATCGCGCGCTTCATCAACACGAACGCGTCCTACTTCAACACACGTAGGTTAGAGAGAGAAGCAAAATTTCCCTGAAACTTTCAAATCTCTGTAGGTCTCTCGGTACTCAAGACCTAGGGCTCAGTTTCTCCCAATACGGGCCTCCCAGCCGGTGAATAACATATATTTATCTATGTTTAGCAGCCTTATACATAAACACAGCTGTGTCCTCTCAGTCAAAGCGTAACAAAAATTTATTTTTGCTGGACTTCTATTTTCGATCATATTTAATATTCGAAAAGAAAATCTATATTTCGGATCTCCTCACAATATTAGGGTGTGACATCTGTATAAGTCAGGAAAAGTTTAACTCTTTCAAAGAAGCGAGAGGGAGGTGACATATTCCTGCATATTCACCGAAGTTAAACACTAAACATGTTCCATTGGCAGAATATTGTTTCAAGAAAAAAAAATCGACAAAAAGATATAGGGTTTCCTATAAGATCAATCCAAACTGCACTATAAGTTCACGATAAATTCATGTAATAAATAGGTGGAGAAGATGGCTGTGATCAAGTTTGGGCATTTATTTTGTGTACCGGACACAGATGGCATAAAATAAAAGAATAAAAACCATGAAACAATAGCAAGCAGATTTGCCCTGAGCAGAAAACAAAGAACACCTTTGTTTTAGGTCGTCTGTGTCCAGTACACGAAGTTTACACTGCAATTGCGACTCCAAAAATATCTGGACATATTGTCAATTCATTTGGTCAGAGAAGTGTACATTTGACTGTCAGTATGAGAATTTTAAAAAACTATGCCTCTGGCAACCATGCCTTAACAAGCTCATGCAAACTGATCACCTTCAAAAGGACTTGTATGTGGACATTTCATACAAATTCACTTTTGCATGGGTATTTGTTTTTCATGCATGTACACTATGAAAACTTTCATACGGATAATTCAGTCCTAATAAGGGTACTGTACATTAAATAACCATGAGTCGCGATCATTTTAATAATTCTCCTCAACTGCAGCCTACATGTAATTTATATTTTAGTTTAAGTGACTATGTTTACACCTAGCCTGCGAAAACATCCGCTTCTCCTCGCTCTTCGCCGCTGGGGACGTTTCGCGCGGAGGAACCTCCGCGCGAAACGTCCCCAGCGGCGAAGAGCGAGGAGAAACGGATGTTTTCGCAGGCTAGTTTGCACCTTACTGTTACAAACAATTTGTTTTCAAGTGTGATTATGTACTTCAACAAGAGCAAACACTTTCATTGATGTAGTTCGGTGTTTTTTCCATTTATTTAAAGGAAAACGATCTTTTAAAAGTCGACAAAATTCTAATGCAAGAAAAGACTTCGAAGGATTGAAAACGGCGTTTTTTAATTTACTGTAGCTGAGGTTTGTGCTCGAAGGAATATTTACAACTCCCGTTTATTCGCGTAGAAAAGACCGTTTCGTGATTTCATTTTCATAAAAAACCTCTGAGTGCCAGTGGCCTATTAGGTCCAAAACTGGAAGTTAATTTATGAAAGCAATTTTTTTGCAGAAATTCTACCTTTCAAGTAAATAGGAAAAGAATGCCACAGGAAGATGTCGTCTTACCTCGAGCAACCGACCCGCCATTTTTGTCAGCACTTCATGCGAAGTGCTGAACACCTGCCTATGAAAAAGACGAGAGTAAGAAAGAATGACGTCCCGTACATGAATACAGAGTGGAAAGCAGCGATAAGAAAGAAAGGAGGTTTGCGAAGAAATTCAGCAAGGATCGAACTACAGAGTCATGGGAACTAATGAAAACCTGGAGAAACAAGGCCACACGACTGAGAAGGAAGGCGATTAAAGATTACTGGAATGGTGTGTCAGGTAAACTTGATAAGAATCCTAAGAAATTCTTTGGAACGTTTATGCCCTTTATCAGCTCAAAGTGTGCTAAGGACAAGGATTCAACTGATATTTCTCTAAACATCCAAGGACAGCTACAACAGAACAAGCAGATAGTTGCACAGGAATTTACACGTTACCTTTCAACAACCGCAGACAATATGGGTGAGTGCGATCAGACACAGACAAATGCCAAGTACGTTTAACATCAGGAGCATTAGCAGAGAGCAAGTTTTGGACGCCCTTCGGGATATTAACCCTCGTAAAGCAACAGGGTTTGATGGGTTGTCCCCTAGAATGCTTAAGCTGGTAGCAGATGAGATTGCAGAACCTCTAACGGTGGTATTTAATCAAGTAATTCAGGCGAGAGAATGGCCTAAGGAGTGGAAAAGAGGAGAATGGGTACCAGTGTACAAGAAAGAGGATCCGCAAAATATAGCCAATTACAGACCAGTAACTTTGCTACCGGCAGTGGATAAGATCTTTGAGCAATTGATCTGCTATCAATTGAGGGATAAGTTGTTCGAAAACTATCTTTGACAATTCGACGTCAGTATATCGAAAGTGTTACAGTTGTGAAACAACTTTGATACGACTAGTTGAGGACTGGAAATATGAGTGGGATACAGGGGAGACTGTAGCCATTTTGTCAACTGATATGAGTAAATAAAGCCTTTGACTCCGTGCACCCAGCGTTACTTCTGGCCATACTGAAAGCTTATGGTTTTTGTGAAAGCGCTTTAAATTTTATGAAATCCTATTTCGACGGAAGAGAGTAGGAACGGTGACCAGCAGTTGTAAGGAAATAAAGAGGGTATGTCCTCAGGGACCCTCACGAGGGCTCGTGCTATGGAATATCTACTATAATGAACTGTTCTATATTCAGCGTGACATTCATTTATCAGTATACGCAGATGACCATCAATTTTACTACGCACATAAAGACCCTGATCAGTCGCTAATAGTGATCAACAATGATGGAAGACAAGCGTCGAGATGGTACAGTGAGAATTTCCTGCAGGGAAACCCAAGCAAAAATGAAGCAATGTTTACCGTATTTATTCGATTAACCGCCCTGGGCGCTTATTAAATTTTTGGACCTTGAGAGTTGGCGCTTATTCGAGGCTGGGCGCTTATTAAATTTTCACCATTTTCAGCGAGTGTAGTATGTTTATTTTGCAACAAAACAATAAATGCTAATAACAAAACGCGAAGAAGTAACAAAGCAAGGATTCTGTAAAATACTCTGAAGAAAACTCCGTCGTCGGAGAAGACTCTTATTAATTAGTACTTATTCAATTTCAATTTCAATCTCATTGTCACTCAAGTGGGTGGGGTGGGGGTGGGCGCTTATTTGAGTTTGATTGGAAGGAGGAGGCGTTGGCGTGGGCGCTTATTAAATTTTTCTGCCGTCAGAACGATCGATGATGTGATTGAATATGCTAGGTACAAAGATATACCTGGGATTCTAGTAGCTATAGACTTTGAAAAAGCTTCCGACTCGCTCAATTTAAATTTTCTTTTAAGAGTATTACATGCATTTAACTTTGGTCCTTCTTTTATTCAGTGGATACGGGTCTTATATAACAATGCCTCTAGCTGTGTAATGAACAATGGTTTTACAACAGGACCTTTTGCACTAAGTAGGGGAGTAAGGCAGGGAGATCCCCTCTCTCCCTACCTGTTCATAATAGCTTTGGAGACCTTAGCTATAAAGATAAGAGAAGATGATGGCATTAAGGGCATTACGATACGAGATGAACCTGTTAAACTTTCCCTTTTGCCGTTAGGATGGGCGCTTATTCGAGGTGGGCGCTAATTCGAGGTTGAGCGCTTATTCGAATAAAAACGGTATATCAAATTACTATTCTTGCAGCGTGACGTCGAAAGTGACACTTTTATAGTACAGCCAATGGATGAACTTAATCTTTTAGGCGTTTTTATTGACAGGAACTTGTTGTTTAGTAACCATATCTCTACAGCTTGCAAGAAAGCAGGTATGCGGGTATGTGTCCTAAAGAGAATGCGTACCATGATTTCAATGAAAGTGAAATTAAGAATATACAAGGCCGCCATTTTTTGCCATATCTGACATACTGTAGCCTCGTTTGGCACTTTTGTAGAGGCTCAGACCGGAGCTTGAGAGGGTCAATGAACGGGTCTGCGAGCTGTATTTTGCGACTGGAGATCATCATATGATGAGTTACTTACGGGTGCACGGATGACTAGTCTTTACAATAGGCGCCTGCAGGATATCGCAATCCTCATGTACAAAGTGAAATTTAAGTTAATAGCTGCGAATATTATCGATCTTTTTAGTGTATCATTGTCCAGTTATAACCTACGAAATTCAGACTTCTTTATTCCTAGGTTCAATACCGTGAAATATGGCAGACACTCTATTAGATACCTTAGACCATTTTTATAGTCCAAATTGTCTAAAAATGACAGGGACCTAGCCACATTATCGGCTTTCAAAACAAGTATTCAAAAGAAAGACTTATCAAGTCTCATAGCTGGGAACAGATGCTCAAATTGTAAATTGTGTAATACTTGAGACCCTACTTATTAATTTACCTTTAGATTAATTAGATTGTAGACTGTAGATTTTATTCCTTTATTTATTTTTATATAAAATATTTTAACGTTATTAAGGTGTTTCGATACAGTTTTTCAGAGGCCATACCGATATTTTTCAATCGCCTTAAAAGTGTTTTTTTCCTCGTCCGATCGCTATAATATTTTCACCAGTAATAGGCCAGTTGCACTAAGAGGTCACGTGACCAAAGCTTCCTTTAAACGATGAGTTGGAATCTTACTGACGCCGAAAATTGACAGAGGACGTAAAAATTATCTTACACCCGAAATTTGAGAGGAAACGCATTTAAGGGAGATATTTTATGGCACTTTGATTTTTCAACAAAGCAGTATGATTTGTATTGGCCGCCATGTTGGAGGGCATACTCTTGCCCTCCAACATGGCGGCCAAAACTACTTTTTGCTTATATCTTGTTAAACGTTTGATAGTTACGCTCAGATGTGCTGTAAACGTTACCACATCATCTTTTCAACATTTCCCTTGAACTTGAGTGAAAAATTTGTGTTCTGAAAGATGTAATTCCTAACTTTAAAAATCACATTTTGGTCACGTGACCAGCTACGAACTTACTCATTTTAAGAAAATGGTGTGGGTTTGACAAACCAAATCACTATCATTTTGTTTAAGATATGACCCACTAATCGTTTTTCGAAGGCAAAATCATATAACTTTCATTTTCATAAAAACGATGTCACATGACCTCTTAGTGCAAATGGCCCATTGGCTATGGATTGAAATTTGTGAAAATATAGTTTTAATTAAAATCGATATTACTATGACAACAATAAACAAAAAACTTTGAAATTGAGAAAAGCCGAATTTTGTGTGATCAAGACCACCTACTGAAAATCCAACACTAGGAACTTGTTTAGCAAACAATCTCCGTAAGAAGTCAAGAAATTATTTTTTAACCTTTCGCGTGATTTGATCCGTCAATCAAGTCGTACTTTTCTGAATGGTTTCCTCTCTGATTTTGATGAGATCACTTCGTGTGTACCGTATTTATTCGAATAAGCGCTCAACCTTGAATTAGCGCCCACCTCGAATAAGCGCCCATCCTAAAGGCTGAAAAATTTAATAAGCGCCCAGCCTCGAATAAGCGCCCACCCCCTCCTCCCAATCAAACCCAAATAAGCGCCCACCTCCACCCCACCCACTTAAGTGACAATGAAATTGAATAAGGTCTAATTACTGGAGAGTTTTAGATCCGAGTTTACCGCGAACCTCTAACCGCTGGAGGTCACGTGACAAGTCTTTCGCGTCACGTTTGAGGTTTACGGCGTGCGTTTTCACGTATGTCATTTACCTGATAGCTTTCAGCGTATAATTCTTGTTTTATCCCACGTAATGATACAAAAATCTTGTGGAGCAAGTCTTTATCCATTAACAGAGGCACAAATTCGGGCGAAATACTAAATTTGATAAATCCTATTAGATCTTGAAAACAAGTGCCATTCAGGGCTGGTGATTCAAAATGGCGGCCGTAAAATTGCAAGAAGAACTAATGTAAAAATTTACAGCTCTTTGCTGCTAGATAACCCAGTGTTACCGTAAATTTCTTTTATTTTCACTGGTTGATTTTTCTTCTATTCTAAATGGAAAAATAAACCAGAATCCACTTCTTTAATCCACCGCCAATCTAAATCGAATTATGTTTGAACGTCGAACCGCAAATGGGTAACCGTAAATCGCGGTTAGAGGTTCGCGGTAAACTTGGATCTAAAACTCTCTAATAAGAGACTTTCCCGAGGACGGAGTTTTCTTCAAGGTATTTTACAGAAACCTTGACTTGTTACTTCTTCGCGTATTGTTATTAGCATTTATTGTTTTGTTGCAAAATAAACATACTACATGCTGAAAATGGTGAAAATTTTATTAGCGCCCAGCCTCGAATAATCGCCCACCTCGAATAAGCGCCCACTCTCAAGGTCCAAAAATTTAAAAAGCGCCGAGGGCGGTTAATCGAATAAATACGGTATATACCAAAGTTAATTATTGGAGAGGTTAAATGTTCGACAGAATGTATGTTGATACCAGTTCATTACGGTTGTTTAGGGTCGCCATTTGAGGTTTTGTTATATTAACAAATTTCTCGGAAATACACAAATTACACCGTTTAGTTAGGTTTGTGTATTCGCTTGCCTATCTTTTGGGGGTTGCTCTTGTTCAGGTTGTGCGGTTTTCTTTAAGAGATGGTTTTGTTATAACCGTCTTCGACTTCTTTCATGTTTGGTATGTAACTGTAGCTTAATTTGATAGTATTTCTATTAAGTTTTTTCTCAATTTGTGCCCGGTGGGGAAACATCCGTCAATTGGGTGGATGAAGACTCTTCCGGTTTGGACATTTCTGTTCAATGGTGGGTTGTAGGAATAACCGCTCTTACGTAATGCTTCCTGGTATGGGAGTGCTGGTTCGTTGAATACATCCTCGTCAGATGAAATGTCGGATAGCCTTCTGCCTATTGCTTCGGGAATATTTCTGATTATGTTCGGCGGATGGTTTGATTTATTTCTGTGCACATAGAGTGGGTTAGTTGTTGGTTTCGAACATGGCTTAAATTTTTCAGTGCTCAAGTCCAGCGTTACCCCAAGGAAGTTAACAATTTTTTTTATTGGCTTCCATACTGATTTTCAAGTTGTTTTTGGCGAATATTTTGCATATTGATTTCTTCACTTTCTTTATTTTTCGGGTCTCTGTTTGAGAACTACCAGTCTGTCGTCACGGCAAAGGCCGACGTCGATGTCAGGTATTTCTTTAAGCTGAGAAAGGAGGTAGCACCTAACCAATTCGGATTTTTCTGCTCCCTCGTAGCTTATTATAGTGACATCGAAGAGTGTGCTGGAATTTCTCTTTTGCCATGGATTTCCGTTGCTAAAAATGAGTGATTGTTTGGCATGTACGATTGTTTGGCCGTCATCAGCTGAGATGGTCACGTAATTTGACGCTGAGTCAAGGGCACCGGTTTAAGTAGTGTTTCCGTTGTGGAAGGGTAGAACTCCACTATATCAAAGCATAAAAGCTGAGTCACGCTTGTCTGGAAAATTCTTGTACCAATGTAGCACTGAAGTATTTTTCCACTGGTTTACATTTGTGGCTCTTACGATTTTTTGGTTTAAGATTCTCGAGATTTACCATCGTTTTTTAAAAGTCTTGAGTTTCAAGATTATTGATAACTTGAAAGGCAGTGAAGTAAGGGCTACAATTCGCTAACTCCTCTCATTATTCAGGGGTATTGTCATATTTTTGTGGACAACAATAACCAAAATTTCTGCATATTTCAAGTTCATTGTCAGTTACTGTCCAGTAACAATGCGTCAGCCCCCCTCCCCCACCACTAATCCCAGAGGGTGTTATTTGCAGGTTGCAGGTCAGAATTTAAGAGTTAAATTTAAAGATAAAACGAAAAAGCCAGTATTAATTCAGTTTAAGGACAGATGCTGTGCAATGTAGGTAATGTCAACTCGCTCTCATTCAAATCTATGCCACGGTTGAACACTAATTGGTCTCAAACAACAAATACAAAAGTAGAAAATATTGTGTTTAATTCTGAACAAATTTCAACCCGCAAATGGATTTTCATGACATCGTGACGATCGGTTTTTGCCATTTAAAAGATAGGGATCCCTCCACCTCCTTCTGATGTTCCTTGGATCTTAAAGGGGCTACGTCAGCTGGAGAGCATGCGTGCTGGGGTTATACAAATTACTTTCAAGTGTCATAATTCTATTGTTTTTAACGCATGACTTTCACTGTCACGTCCAAGGGTCCAAAATTTACAGACGTTTACAATCGAATTTGGTTTGGATAAGGGATATAATTTTTGATAGAATTTATGGAACATTTCTTCTCTGGTAATGCTAGATCAAATTCCCTCATTTATTTACTCCTCAAGAATAGAAGTGCTAAGACAATTTTACTTCTAGTTTGAAGTAAAAACACATGGCATTCATCAAAATAGAGTGCAAACAAAAATTCAACAACAACATATTGTTGTAGTCAACAAAATAAATCAAAGTTTTATCTTACATCTTAATCATACAGAAGATTCTTTCTAAGATTCCATCACTTATTTCGGAGTAGCCATCATTAGTTCTCTGCCAGTACAACGGCCAGTGATAAGAGGGCACTATAAATCCATGTAAATAAATTCCAATGCCAAACGATTTCAAAAATAATGCAAGAAACTTTTTCTGTAATCACCATAGAATGATCCTTAATAAAAAAATTTGTTAACTATTAAACAATGGCATTGGCTGATATTTTAACAGATAAAACAGGTTTCCAAAATATCCGACAGAACTTGAAAAAGTTGGTTGACATTTTCAAGTTTCTTTTCATTGGCTTGTGCATGCACCTGGGGTGACATAGCCCCTTTAACTGCCGGTGTCTGATTTTTATTATTCTTTAGGAAAACCTCACTCATATCCAGACACCCAGAGAGGACTGAACCTACTTCTGGTGCAAGAAATGTCTTTTAACGCCATTTTCACCCACTTCCAGTTCCTCTAGCCTGGAATATTTCCATAACTAATAATCGTCATGGTGTCTCAAGGTTTGTCCTTTTGGAAGTACCATTATTTTAAGGGTAAGCACTTCCAGTGTGACCTTGTGTCTCATAACAAATTCTGACTGGCAACCTGCAAATTACACCCTCCACACCAACCCCACTCTTGGATATCTACAAATGGGTGTAACAAAGCCGACGTTACGAGATCAGTCAGGACACCACTCAAATAAACCGCCAGAGGTTGAAAGACAATAAACCTATAAGTCCTAAATAGCGTTTGTACCTGTAAGCTGCGTGCATAGCGATGGTTCCTCCCATGTCCAATCCACCAATTATAATCTTCTCATGTCCAATTCCACGGGACTTTTCTAAGTTCACTAGTTGCCTAATAAGACTGCATGTGTAATTGATTGAATCCTTCCTCTCCCCTGCTGTCGGACTGTATGAGATTTGTTCGTACCACATTCCCTTTCGCGTACCGCCAAGGGGAACACGATAAGGGATCTCTGGGGCTTGGGGATAAATAACTCGAATGTGATCGAACTCGAACTCTTTGTGAAACATAGTTTTAAGATATTTTCTCATCGTCTCAGCGGTGAATTTTTCGCCATGAAGAAAGATCAAAGTGCCAACTTGGTGAAGATTCTCTCGCGCAATCAAACACTTCAAATTCGGTAATGCCATGCCTGTTGCTCCTTCAATATGTTGGAAATTCTTCACGATTATAGTGTAAATCATGCGATACACTATAATAATCATATATGAGGTCTCTACCTGACAGGTAGTTCATGTATAGGACATATAATATCCTCGTCTCGGGTCTTGTAGTCTTTGAAAATGGCCGCCAGTGGTGCCTTGAATGCGGGAAGACATGTACGTTTTTCTTCTTTGGTTTTTGTTGGATCAGCTAAGAAAAATGGACTAAAGACAGGTAAGAATCTCATGGGAACGTTATTTCCGGCTTTCTTTGATCTTGCTTGTTTTGTTTTTTAGGCTCTTGTATAGATAATCACATGATTTCGAGTGCAATTTGGAATAAATAAGCACGAGTAAATTTTTTAAAGACTAACAAAAGTGCACGAGCCCGTAGGGCACGAGAAAAATCATGTGATTACTTATTAATAACATACACGGAAAACATAACTACAACAACAAATTTTGACGGCGCCTGCTTTTTTAGTTCATTCAACTGATGGCTGAAACAGACTACTACCTTTGTTAAATTCAAACTTTTTCAAGACCAAAACTTTCAAAATCATTCAGCTAAGAACTTGGAAATGTGCAAGGACTGATTTTATTTATTTATTTATTTATTTAGTCACTCACAAAACCTTACACAACATGAACAAAAGGTATTAATTAAATTATAAAATTAATGTGACAAGGAAGCCTAACGAAGCTTGAAGCTTATATTAATAGGCTTCCTTCAACTACCTTGTGAACTGAGTTCGTGGCTGAGTGCAGAGTGAGCAAGATCAGAAAATTAAACGACAGATCGGCTATCAGTGAGATAATTCTTTAAATTTTTTTAAAAACAGATATAGAAGGAGAGCTAATTAGTGAAACAGGCAACGAATTCCAGATTTTAGGTCCTCGGTAAAGGATACTGAATTGCTTTATAATTGTTCTACAAAAATGAGGTCTATACTGAGAGGCTAGTCGAGTTTCATATTGATGGACTTGATTACTACTGAAGAACAAGTCATGAAAGCTATTAGGCAAAAGATTATGATGATAAGAATACATAAAGGTAGCGAGATAAAATGAATTAATACTAATATGTCAAGGACTTTAAGCTGGCTATATAAAGGGGCGGTATTTGCTAGATAGTGAGCTTTTGTTATGAGTCGCACTAGATGCTTTTGCAAAAGGTAAATACAGCTTAGGTTGGAACAGTAGGTGGAGGACCAGGCAACAGTATGTTAAGAAAGGATATACAAGGGAGTAATACAAGGTCATCAAAGTTTGGGATGATAGGTAAAAGCAAGCTTTCGCAATAATTCCCACACTTTTCGAGATTTTTTTTGAGACGAAATCAATATGTGTTTCCAAGAGAGATACTGATCAATTAGAACACCTAAAAATTTTGTCTCCGTGACTTACTTGATCACGGTATTTTCCAGAGTAAGAGGGACATTAACATTGACTTTCGTTTGCCTTGGATGAAAAATCATAAAATTTGTTTTAGTCAGATTTAGAGATAACCTTTTCACTTTAAGCCAAATAATTATTTTTGCAAGTTCATTGTTAACAATAGAAATGACGTGGTTGGCATCTTTATGGGAACAAAAGATACTTGTGTCATCAGCAAACAGTAAAGATTGAGTGAGACCAGAGACATTAGTAAGACCATTAATGTAAATAATAAACAAAAGAGGTCCAAGAATTGAGCCCTGTGGGACGCCACATAAAATTTTCTGCGGATAAGATCAATGGGACCCAAACTGGACAAATTGAGTCCGATGGTCAAGATAGCTTTTGATCCACGCCAAAGCAGAATCCCGAATACCATAGTGTTGCAGTTTTTGACACAATATTTCATGATTAATAGTATCAAACGCCTTAGAAAGATCTAAGAAGATGCCTAAAGTTGTTTCATTTCTGTCGATAGCTGAAGATATGTTGTTGATCAAGTCAATTAACACTAATGCAGTCGAATGATTATTACGGAATCCAAATTGTTTCGAGTATAAAATATTATGCAAATTTAAGAAATTAATCAGTCAGTTGTACATGACTTTTTCAAAGAGTTTAGAAAAGGCTGGAAGAATTGATATTGGCCTGTAATTACTAAAAAGTGTTGGGTCATCTGCCTTAAAAACTGGAATCACTTTGGCTATTTTGAGAGATTCAGGAAACACACCAGTAGACAACGAAGTGTTTATAATGGTTACAAGAGGCTGCGCAATATTTTGGAAAGACTGATGAACTATCTTCATGGATATATTATCATGTCCAGGAGCTTTGTTGGCGTTGAACGATTTAACAATGTTGTTTAATTCACCGACTGTTAGTGGTTGCAATGAAATGGATTCGGAAAGAGCGCTGCTTAAGAAATTCTTGGGTGACGAATTTGTGGAAGGAATTTTGCTCGCCAAATTTGGCCCTATATTGGTGAAGTAATCACAGAATTTATTGGCAATGTCAGTAGGATTGCTAATTTCCATTTCATTTTTGGTGAAGCTTGCAGGATACGGTGATTTAGCGACACGCCTGTTGATCACTTCATTAAGAATTTTCCATGTTTGCTTTAAGTTTGATCTAGCCTTATCCAATTTGTTGTCATAATAATTTTTTGTGGCGATATGAACAAGACAAGTTAGCTTATTTTAGCTTATTTTATATGGTCACCAGCCATTTAAAGATAACTCGGTTTACAATAATCAGCAAAGTAAGTGTTTTTCAATTCATCCTCTATTATGAGAGCTCGGCGTTTACAAGAAGCGTTTTCAAGAAGTATACTGCCGTTTTGAAATCAGGAAAATGCTTTGAGCAGCCAAAGATGAAAGACAGTTGCTAAGGTTTTTTAACGACTGTTCATCATTGTCTGTTCCTGAGACCCCATCATAGCTGGATTCATGGAGAAATTTTTGAGATTTAATACCCAAAAATGAAGGAGGCAATTTGTTTTCTTCCGACGCTGCTATCGATGGGTGAGTGGAGCCACAGTTGTTGTGATGGCGGAAACTGCCTGTATTTATATAAATTTGCTTTTTCTCAGCGCTGGGGTTTTCATTATTTCATTTGGCCTACTGCAAGAGTCATCGTAGCTCTTCTTTGTTGGCGTCATCGTAGTTGTAATGAAATTTATACTTCTGTGGCCTGTGACATGGGCAATATGTTCTGAACTTATAATCTTTGCTTTAAATTTTCGGTTTCATTTGCTACTTAGGGAGAAAAAAACAGACCATCGCATGGATGTTTAATAGTATTAGAGGTCTTTGCTCCACAAAAGACTCAGAGAGAGGAACTGGACACCTTTCTCCTCCAACAAATAATGTTCATGACTTGAAATACCTGTTGTTATCATGGAAAACTTCTATTGTTCATTTAAATGCCTGAAAAGTGTAGCTGTTATGGTTTGCGTGTGGTTGCCACTGTTTTTGTTCTTTATTTTTTTACTTTAGCGTTGTCTGTTATAAGTAGCTTGTTTTTTAGTTTCTCTGGCTCATTTTCCTCAATTTTGTTGACAGTATTAATTTTCTCTTAGCACCGCATTTTCAATACATTTAGCCAGAAAGATGTACTTTTTACTGTGTTCGGGTTTTTGGAATATTTTTTTTAACTTTCCTATTGTCGTCAAAATTAAGTCCTGTCGTTGTCTGCTGAAAACCATGGCCATTTTCTTAAATTTGTTGTTAAAACAGATCTAATCTGATTGGTTGATGCGAGAAATTCAGCAGTATCCAAATTTAAGTCATAAGTTATGCGAAAATGATAAGCAAAGTTTACACAATTATATCTAATAAACTGTGAGATTTATACCTTTGTTTTGGGGATTTTTATAACAGATGGGTCCTTGCAATTTGGAAACCACGAAAAAAATGCCAGCAATAGCAGAATTTCAACTCAGACCCTAAAGAGGTATGGCACTATAACCATGTGAAATTTGCTCCAATCGCTAAAAATTTTATGCTATATTGTAAATTTATCTATATGTTATGCATGCTATATGTTAGACTTACGATCAAAGTAAAGGTGGGGATACCAGAGAGCTTCAAAGTAGGATGGTACCCTCACAAACTAACTGGGTCGAGTCACCTTAACGAGCTGAAATAACCCCTGAAGATAGCTTTTATGTTCCTCTCGATATTAAAAATCGTGGAAGGTGCAAGTTTCAAACTATATTTGTGACTGTGCTTGATGGTCCTTGGCAGGCCCTCCCCTCCCCCCAAAAAAAGTGAGAATGCGATAGTTTCCATACTAAAACTGTATTTTCACAATATTTAATGTATATTTTCTATTCTTGATGCAATAAAACTATAGTTTTTTTAATCTGTTGTGTGTGTACCAAATAATCTCCTTTCCCGTCGAGAGACTTCAGACAACAGTCTCTGTCTCCCACACAAGCGGTTTTCAGCACGGTCGAAAGTAATAACTAAATACTCTGTATGTATTCGAGATATTAACAAAAGAGAACTTGTAATTAACATCTAAAGGGAAGGTTTTTAAAACATTCTTTGAAATGAAGGTCATCTCCTTTTATTTTGCAAAATGTAATTTGACCAAGGTCATGCATGTACAGGTACAGCGGTAGGTTGCAGACCAAGGACTATTATAGAATAGAATAGAATAGAAAACTTTATTAATGTGTTGGAGCCGTATAGCCTGGGAGCAACCCCATACTAATTTGGGGGCACAATTTATCATTAAATAATTGAAATTACCTATAAAATATAAAAGTAAAAATATTTAAACTACGCATATATATTATACTCTAATGATAATCTAAAATAACTGAGAGAGAATTGTAAAATTAAATGGTTATGATGTGCAGAGAGAACAGCTCTAACATCCATCATCTATCATTTTTACGAATTCTGCTTTTAAAGATGTTCAGAGTTTTCGCTGATGTTAACTCAGGAGGTAATTTTTGCGATAACCTAGGCCCAAGATACGTTAAAGAATGTTTACCATATGTTTACAGTATTATATCTAGGAATAGAGAAATCTGAATGTCGTAAAGAATAAGAAGAGTTATGATTATTGAAAAGATTACAGATATAAGTTGGACATAGATTGTGGTTCACTTGGTACATAAGAGTGCAAATATCCTGTAGGTGCCTATTCAATAGTGTTGGTAATTCTGCCCTCTCAAGAAGTTGTTGATAACTTGCATACTTGTCTCTATATACAGCCCTCAGTCCCCTTTCTTGCAGTCTTTCTAGTTTTCGCCCATCACTACATCTACAAAAATGCCAGACTAAATGGCAATACGTAAGGTACAGTAAAACTGATTTGAATACAAATGTAGCATTAGCTTGGCCTTAGTTGGAATTAAGTTCCTAAGTCGCATGAGCACGCCGAATCTTTGACTAGCTGTCTTACAAATAGTGCTAATGTGATCAGTAAAGTTAAATTTGGAATCTATTGTAACACCTAAGAGTCTGAGCTTTTCTACATTCTGGGATTTTCTACACTATTATGCAAAATTTGGTGATATTTTTCAAGAGTCGATAAAACAATTTCAAAGTCTGTAGCAATGTGCTTCCAAAAGCAAAAATAGGTTTATTTGGAAACTTGTTCTGTCAAAAGGAACGTCTTCCCGTCACCTTTTTATTATTTATTCACAAGCTAAGTAAACATACCATGTAATTTACGGTGCTGCAAAAGTCCAAACTTCAAGAAAGACAAAATAAA